CATGGAGACAATAATCCAAAATAAGGTCAAGGAAACAGACAAACAAGCAGTCATTGGAGACTGTGAACGGGCTTGAAGACCTTGGTGAAATCAGTTCACTTCTCTAGGAGCTGGGGCTGGGTGCCAGGTTCCTTTCCCGGCGAGCATCCCTGAGTGCAGAGCTCCAGAGAAAGAAAATACCTGGCCCTGTATTTGATGAGTTTGTAATTAATTACGCAGAATAATAAAAAAGATACCTCTGGCTGGCAGCGAGAAGATACGAATGCTAGTTCTGGCTCTGCTAATGAAGCTGCCTGCCATTTCCCGAGTCCTTACTATGTGCCAGAACATCGCAGACCATGTCCAATCCTAACGAGCCCTGAAGGCAGGTGTTACGATGCTCCCTTCACAAAGGAGAAACTGAGGCTCGGGGAGCTGCCTGCACTTTCCTGAGGCAACAGAGTGTGAGCGGCCAGCCCCGTCATGACTCCGCTGCCTGCCTGCAGGACCCTCTCTACTTACTTGTCTGCCACTCTCCGGGCCTCAGTTTCCATCTCTGTAGAATGATGTCAAATTCTCTTCTAATCAGAAAATCAGGACGAGTAAGCAGTTTGGCAATTACCAGGAACAAAGAAAGAGGGAAAGTGAATTATGAAGGGGTCCTCGTGGAATACTTGTTGGAGGACAGAGGATGTGAGCAAGACTCAGAGCAAGAGCAGGGTTTAGACAGGCAACAGAGAGGAAGGGTGCTGTCCCGGGGTGGGAAAGATGAGGTGCACATCACAGAGGGGCCCACCTCTGCCCTGCCTGGGGGACAGTGGCGAGAGTGACACGCAACTGCGTAAGGTAGAATGGAGGAGGGCCAACCAAAGCGGCATGGAGGTCTCTGAGACCACCCTCAGGTTCAGTGATTCACTAGGAAGACTTCCCAGGCTCAGCATGTAGTGGTACTCGAGGCTGAGACTTACCACAGCCAAAGGGTGCAAAGCAAAATCAGCAAAAGGCACCTGGGGCCAAATCCAGAGAAAACCAAACACAAGCGACCAGAGTCCTCTCCCAGTGGAGTCACACAGGGCATGCGGAACTTCTCCAGCAAGTTGGGACAACAGGGTGAGGGGCAGGGGGCAGGGGGCAGAGGGGTAGAGGGGTGGGGGTAGGGAGTGGCATCTACGAGGGAAGCTCAGGAGAGACTCAGTGCCAATGGTTTTCACTGGGGGCTGGCCACGTAGGCAGCCTCTGCCTAGCACATAGCAACAGTCCAGGCTCCCAGAAGAAAAGCAGGCCTTGGGCATCACCACAGTGTTTATACAAACCATTTAGGCCCAGGGAGCCACCCCTATTAGTTAGAGAATGGTGAGAATCCTCCCGAAATCCGAGGTCTCAGATGCCAGCCCAGGGCCAACCTTGCAAGGGGGATCTTTCTAAGGACATGAGTCAGGGCTGCTAGGTTAACTCTGCTGCACACATCAAACTGGTGCAGAGGGCCCAGCATGCTTCCCTAGCATATGCTGATAACGAGGTAAGCCCTTAGAGCAGGGAAGGCCAACGCATGGCACATATGAGGCCACTCCCATTTTGTGGCTGTGGGAGAAACATCACGGCACTGACTCTAACCGGGTCCAGGTGCAGACTCCAGTCCTTCAAACAGCACCCAGGGCCAACCTGTCCAGACGGACACAGGTTGACATATACCTGTCGTCTTTGTGAGCGAGGAAAAAACACACAAAAGCTAGTAGGAACCTGATACCAGTTGGCATTTTTGTGTCAAAGCATTGCTTCGTAATTATTGCATTTCTGTTTCATTTGTTTAAGTGAGAGCAACCCCTGCATAAAGCACTATCACATCAAAGAAACAAATGACAACCCCAAGCGATACTATGTGGCTGAAAAGTATGTGTTCAA